CCTCTTTTTAGCTGAGGAAGACTGGCCCTAGGCTAACATCTGTGCCCATCTTCCTCTACTTTATATGGGACGCCGCCACAGCCTGGCTTGACAAGCAGTGCGTCAGTGCACACCTGGGATCCAAACCTGCAAACCCTGGACTACTGAAGCAGAGCGCGCACACTTAACTGCTGCGCCACTGGGCCAGCCCGGTTGTTTTTTTTTTTTTTTTTAAAAACAAGCAATTAAGGAAACGTAAACTCTACATCTGTGCCAAGAGGGGGCACTCCCCTACCATGAAGAATAAATTAAAAGGTATTTTGTGTTTCACCCAGAGGTTCCAGTGGACTTGGTTCAGGCACAAACTTGAAGACAGGGTGGTCATTAGATATGTTGAAGCTTGAATGGCAGAGGATATAAACCCAGCAAAAGGAAGTACTCAGTGGCTTTTTTTTATTTGAAATATAATTTTACTTTTTATTTTTACAATACAGTGTGCAGTATGACATCTCAAAATAACAGAGTGCAGATACAGGGTAAGAGAATACAAAGGAGGACTAACAATAGATGTCAGGTTACCTTTATTAATGCTAAATCCCTGGTTTATATTTTCCACACACATTCACAAAATTACATTCAAATTATTCCTCATCAATACTTATCCTTAGGCCATGAGAAAAGGAATAAAATTCCAGACATTAGATTTTCATAGAAAGCAAATCTGGATTAGTCTAACTACTATTCTTCTTTCTGTTTGTTCTGACTTAAGAAAATTTAGTAAAGGAAGTTATTTCCTTATTTGAACTAACATGTGCTTTCCATTAGCTATTGGCATCATTCCTATAAGTGGTTAAGACCTCCCCCACACTGGGGTCTCTAATCAGAAGCACAGAGAGACAGGAAATGGAACTGGCCAGAGCGGCTTGACAACTAGGTGTACAGCAAGGCTTTTTTCCATTTTCTTTCATGGAAGTCAGCAACAACTCCGTTTTCACTTTGTTTAGGGACTGTGTTGAATATCAGCACATCCTTATCACTGGATTGAGAAAAGTCTGGGGCATAAACATTTCTATCCCTCTACCATTGCTGATGAGGAAGAAGGACTTTACTGACCCCCAAAATATCTCCTGTCACCTCCCACCTCCTAAAAGTATACTGTGGCATGGCATGCCTTGGTAGGGGATTTGCTTGTTAAAGCCACGTCTGAGTCTATCAGCACATGTCCCTAGTGTGGCCCTGCAGTCTGCAGGCTAACTCAGGGACTGACACAACAGCCACTTACTGACACTCCCTGAAATCTCATCTAACTCAACTCACACTACCAACATTTTACATTTTAGGGTTGAAAACAGTTGCCAGTTATGAGAAGCAGCTCACAAAGCTCCATTGTCTACCACAGACTACCTTTCATTCCCGAAGAGAAAGTAAACTGGAAAACTGAAAACATTAAGTGCTTCTATTCCTTGGATATCAATGCTGAAAATCAGTGACCTTTTCATTTTCCTGCCATAAGCTGGAGTGTTGCAGACCTGAAGAGACAGTATGTATGGCATTCCTTCCCTTAACCCAGGAATGTTACTTTCTTCCTAAGGAACATTATCTTGAAAGTATTTCTGCATAAGACACTCCACAGCCAACTTTGAGGCCATGCAAATTTGAACAGAAAAAGGCAACATATAAACTGTCTACATTTGTTCAAATAAAATTATGTAGAAGAGAAAAAAATCAAATATATACATGACACTGAGACAAACTACTCATTTAAAACAATTGCTTATGTTAAATTAAGTGACAACTCAGTATTATTCCAGTGTTTAGCTGTGGGAACAGGAAATGCTGTAGCTAAAGTCGTCATAAAAATAAAATCAAGACATTCACATTTGAGGTTGTTTGTCACACATCACACCATCCCTAAGGCTTGAAAAAACTAACAAATTAACTTTCCATGTCAATTACAGAAGTTGAATTTTAAAGCTACAGCTACAGACACAGTACGAAAATCCCATTAGCTTAAACATTGATGATTTAGCAAGCTGCTGCATTCTGGTCATAAGAGGCAGACCTTGTTAGGATAAAAACCTGCTTCCATATGCTTAACTTTTTCCCCCAGTGTTCTTTTCCTAAAATGTTCAAATGACTTTCAGGTCATCCTTTCCTTCTGATCTCAAAGTCAATTGTCATAGTATTTCCCTCAGATATATATAATTTTTATTTCAATGTTGAACAAGTGTTCTCAATGACTATTTGTCAATCTGTTAAATATTAGTATACAGTACAGCAGCTATATATTCATCACAGAATTCCAGTTTATTACCTATATATAGAGCACAGTCATCAAATTATACTTTGCTCATATATAAAAATGCAAAATCTGTCAAATGTGCTACGTCCTCTCATGTATATAAAAAACTATCTGCATCATGAGGAAGAAACTTTTTAACAGTCAACACAGTTTATATGAACATCTGCCATTCATAAAAATGTAACTTACACATTCTATTGTACTATGCAGATCAGAGAAAGGAAGCAAAGTTATCAAATCAGTTGCAACAATTTAAGAAAAAAATTCATAAAATCACATTTTAAAAAGATCAGCATATGTTGTATATGTTTAACTAGATCAGAGTTTGCTGAGTGTGCAGTGAAGTCTGATCCACAAAGTGAGCTAAAAAATTGGGGCTCTAATGGAATGTTTTTTAAGAATTAAAAGACAGACAAATGAATTCAAGCCTAACAGAGTAGCTCCAGACCAAAGTGGCAACTTGTTTTTAGGAAAGTATTTCTGATGACTAAACCAGTCTTCTAACCAAATACTGTCTTGCCAGTGCACAGAAGCACAGACCACCCCCTCGCCACCACATTTCCATGAAGTCATTTAAGTTAACTGTTAAATAATATCAATATTTATAACTATGTGAGATATGGACCACTGTGTATATACATACAAGTTTTTCATGGAAATATGACTAGGCGGAAAAGATTTAGTTAGGTGAAAACAGAATTAAAAGGTTTTTACATGGATAAAATGGAACTGCTCTGTTGAAAGCTTCCATTTAGAATCCCCAAACAAGGCAAAAAACTTCTAAAGCCATGTATAGAGAATAAAGACTGCTGTGCACAAATCACCTAAAGGGATTTTCTTTTCACTAGTTTGAGATCTAAGAACAAGTCTACAGCTTATACTGCCTGCCACCATATCCTCAGCGTCTTGCTGAAGTATCAGGGCTATCTTCCTACTGGCAGTTTGCCAGATCAAGTCCACTCATGCCACAGAATGGATGTTTCCTTCACCTCAGCCAAGTGGACGGCACCCACTGAGGTTCAGTATCAAGTTTGTTAATTAATCTAAGCAATTCCTGATAGGCTTTATCAAGATCTGAATTCACAATTGCCGTGTCAAAGTAGTGGCCATTGTTCTGTTCCATCTCTCTAGTCTTCTCAATGATTTCTCTCAGCTCTTCAGGCTGCAAAGGGAAGATAAAAACTGTGAGGTCATTCCACTCCTTACCAAAATATACATGAGTCAGAGATGGATGAAGAACAAGAAATGATCTTACACTGCTTTTTTTCTGTCTCTCAAAATTCTCAACCTCAGGAGCTCCTCCCCAACCCTGTCATGGCCACAGTGATTTCCTTTGCTCTGGCATCTTCAGGACTCACACTGTGAATCATTTGGGACTCAATATAGCCTGTTTATACTGCTATTTAGGTTTTCATATATTTCTGTCTTATCTCACCCGTAAGACTAGAGGCTTCAAAAGCACAGAATGATACTTTGAATTCCGTACAGACATTTGTTTTTAAACATTTTAGCATCATAACCTCTCCCTAAAAATAACATCCTCTGTAACACAGAGTGAACCTTTCTGGTTGGAGCAAGGGTGGGAGGACCCATAGCACCATCTACCCCTGGCTCTTAGACAGCATCCCTGCCCTTTTATGTCTGTCACAGAGTTAGAAAGAGTAAACATTATGGGGATAGCAAAGGATTAATAGAATGGGTATCTTTTTCTATAAAAACATTGGTGGTCAACCCAAGATTTAATAATCTATGTTTTTTGGAGAAATACTCAGCCTAATACTTTCAATTGCCTCTCTATTTTGAATACACAAAGAAGGTCTTTAATAAAGATGCAAAAAAGTATCCTAAGAAGAGTTTGGGAACTGATATAGAACAGGCTACTTTAAAATATTGGGTAAAGGAAACAGCTGTTTCACATAGACAAGCAGGTAGCAAGGCTATACGCAAAATTTATCCAGAACCTTCTGATTTCAGGCACATGTGTTTAAGAAAGTGAAACTACCCCCAAATCACTCCTGTCAATAAAGAGAACTAATTAGACTCAAGTCCAAATGTTTCAGATAAAGTCATACATGAATACTATATTGGACCCACAATACAATTTATATCATTCAACTGGTTGAACTTCTGTAACAATAGGAAAACATATTTAAAATATGATAGTTCTGGCTTGTCCTGAGGCAGTTTCTTGTGTGGCTCTCTAATTTTCATTCTGGAATGTTGTGCATCTGGCTATGGTACACAGAATCCTTTGTTCCCCAGCAGGGACTCCACTACACCACTGTAACTGAACACACTGTAACATTCGTGCTAAAACTTATATCTATTCAAAGCTCAAGATTATTGAAAGAACATTCCATAACTCAGAATCTAAACTTTGTGGTGCTAGAGTTGGACTGTAAATGTTAAGCCCCAAATCTTACATAAATTCATATGAAATCCAATCCACCTAGTTTATCAAATTTAAGGCATTATTTCATCTTTTGCCAAAATGGCTTATATCATTTATTTGGTACTTTATGTTTTAATTTTCTCTTATTTTTCAAATTACAATTCATGACTAAGATGAAACAAAATGTTTTTGCTCAAAAATTTTTGGACTGAGAAAATTAGCCTATAGGCCAAACTGACCGTAGTAGTTCATACTCTCAGTTTACCACTCTCAAGTCCCCATTCTAATAGAACACAGAGATTCAGAGTATAATCAGATAACTGATTGTTTACATTCTGCATCCAGTGAGGAACACCATTACTTTCCTAGCTAGCACAATTTCATAGAGTTAAAACTGAGGATTTGTTTTTACTCAGCAATTCTATTGTGTGAGTGATAAAGCACTACTGGAAATACCAAAGGAGAAAAGCATAAGTGGAATAAAGGCAATCAGACACACCATTCGCTGCCCAACAACTGCTGAATATACATTCTTACTGGTGTGCATAGAACATGCACCAAGACAGAACAAATGCTGGACCAAAAATAAAGTTCAACAAATTTTGAAAGACTGACATCTTATAAAACGTGTTCTCTGACCACAATGAAATTATAAATCAATAAAATGTGTTTTAAAAATCTCCAAATAGGTGGAAATTATGTACTTCTAAATAACCCATGGGTTAACAAAGAAAATGACAAAGGGAATCAGAAAATATTTCTAACAAGATAATGAAAAATGTAACCTCAAAATTTGTAAGATGCAACTAAAGAATTGTTTAGAGGGAAATTTATAACTTCATATTGGAAAAGAAGAAAAGTTTAAAAATCATCTAAATTTCCTTCTAGAAACTAGAGCAAGTGCAAATTAAAGCCAAAGGTCTTCAACAAAAGAGCCAAGAGCACACAATGGAGAAAGGAAAGTCTCTTCAACAAATGGTGCTGGAAAATTGGACAGCCACATGCAAAAAAATGAAAGTAGACCATAACCTTACACCATACACAAAAATTAACTCAAAATGGATTAAAGACTTGAATGTAAGCCTGAAACTATGAAACTTCATAGGCAGAAGAAAACATAGGCAGTATGCTCTTCAACATCGGTCTTAGCAACATATTTTCAAGCACCATGTCTGACCGGGCAAGAGAAACAATAGAAAAAATAAACAAATGGGACTACATCAAACTAAAAAGCTTCTGCACAGCAAAGGAAACCATCA